GCATAAATGCAATCTACTGTCATGTATAACTAACAGGTAAAAATATAATCTCAAAAAAAAATAATGAAAGGGTCAAGAAAGCCTGCTGAGAGTGTGTCATGGCCAGCCAGGATGACAGATCCTGTTTCTCTGCAAGTCACCTGCAACCTGCAGCCATGTGCATACCCCCAGGATGGTGTGAACAGAGTTTCAGAGCTGCAGCAGATGGGGTCTCTGACACACTTCACTTAGTCTTGGCATTCCATGGGTGTCTCATCACTGAAATGAGGAAATAAAAGAAAGCAAGATTTCAGACAGTCTTGCCATTTGCATTGCTCAAAATGGATAGCCAATCATCCATGAAATTGTGTTCATCGAGGGCCTTCCCCAGCCACCCCACCCCACCCCCGCCTTTGCACAGAGCATCATGCAACTCAGGCAAGAGAGAACCTGCCCCTGGCTCATTCCTGTGAGTTTCTTAGCCTAATCGCTGTGGCAGTGACAGCAGGAAAGACCAGGAGCACCCTGAACACATTTTGCTCAGGGGGAAGATTTACTGCATTCACACGACGTAGAATATTTACTTCAAATTAGGCTTCAAGGAGAGTGACCATTCCTGATTCCGAAGCTGACATCACAGTGAGCGGGTCACTCCTCCAGATGAAGGCAAGCTGTGGTGGGGGTTGGGGGATGGGTGTGGAGCTCTCCATTCCCAATGCAGGCTCTGGCTCAGAATAAGACAGGCTCCATCAAATCATGTTTGCCAAATACAGCCGTCCCTCAGTATCTGCAGGAGATTGGATCCTGGACCACCTGCTGATACCAAAATTCAGAGATGCTCAAATCCCTTATATAAAGCATTTGAATAAGACCAACCCACATCCTCCTCTGAATATTTCAGATCACCTCGAGATTACTTCTAATACCTAATATAATGTAAATGCTAGGTAATAATTTCCATACTGTAATGGTTAGGGAATGATAACAAGAGCCTGTACGTGTCTATTACAGACACATTTTTAAACTATTTTCAATCTGCGGATGTGAAACCCGAGGACACAAGGAGCCTACTGAATCCACTGTTGTTTTTCAAGATGACTGTTTCCTGGCAAACTGACACTTGCCACTGGGTGTCTCTGGAAAAGCCATGTGGAGTCCACAGAGCCCAGCATAATTGGGCATTCTCCCCCAGCCTCCCTCTGAGAAATCCTCCCTGCATCTCTCCAGCAACATCTCATTATCTGATTCGTAGGACAAAGACCAGGGAGCAAGTAAGACCCAAGTTAGCAGCTTGGCTTCACTCATTTCTGGCCTGTGGGGCCTTGGACAAGTTATAGAACTTTGTAAACCTCGTTTATAAAAGGAGATGTTAACTGCAGCAGGAAGATTCTCCTTCACAAGAAGAAAATGGCTTTCCCCACATCCATGATTTTTTCATTTCAAGCCCTTATTCCAAGTGAGTGGGGGGAGATTTAGCCTCCAATGACTTAGACTTTTCCCCTTTTCTCTGAGTCCTGGATGATGGCAGAAGATAGATGGTGCTAGGGTGTTGAGGGGCCCTGGTTACCTTTCCATACAGGTGTCCACTGAAAGGGTGCTCACCTCTTTTGGTCATCAGTCATGATGGCCCTTCAGGACTGTGTCCTGGTATTTCCTTGCCTTACTTGGGGGTGCACATCAATATTTCCCTGCATCTCATGATCTTTCTCAAAATCCATCTGTGGTCCATTGTCCTAGCCGGCCAGGCCAGCAGCCAGCATCCCACATCCTACCTCCCGAGCCACTTCAAGGACCTTCACTCTGAACCTCAGACACTGTATCCCCCCACCTCCTCCTGCCACCCTCCTCCCCACCTCACCTGGAAGACCTATTCCCAGGTCTTCTCTGCCCTCCTGAGGCTTCGGGAAACAGCATTTGGGAAAAGACTCAGCTTCAGCCTCTTCCCGTGATCCCCCAGGGAGCAAGTCGAGAGATGTGTTAAAATGGAAGTGAGATGGGAGAAATGTCACAGAAAAAAAAAAAAGAAACAAAAAAACAAAAAACCCCAAAAAAAGAACCCCCACTTAAGGATTAAATAAAATAGCACATGGAATAAAATAGCTTATTAAAGAATCCTCCGTGATTCAAGGACCTAATAAATGGTACCTATTTTTCTCCCTCGGACCTATTAATACAGACAGTTTGTCTATATAACTTGTTTGGAAATTAATCATGCACTGTTCAGTATGTTTGCTCTGCTGGCAATTGAATCTTTTATTTTTGTTTGATTTTGTCAGGGTCTGTACTCTATTCTCCTATCTAGTGCAAATTCCTGTAGAGTGTGGTCCACACTCTAGGTTAGACCTATAGCAAGCACTTTAAAAACGGGTACAGATCTGTGCTTAGGAATCCAAAACCACATTTTGCAAACACTTAAAGAAGGTTGTTTGTGGGATCAAAAAAATTGAGTTATTTTATTTTCTTAAAATGATTCATGACCTTGTTTACTCTAAATGTTAACAGAGGAGAGACGTGACCTAGGTGGTCACCCTAGACATTAAAAATTTTAATGTATCTATTATTTTTTTAAAAAAATTCTACATCACGGTCACCACTGGGTACAAATATATTTCAGACTTTCACCTGGTCTCCTGTGGCAAAATGCTAATTGAATTGATTTCCTGGAGCCCCATCACTAAAAATAAATAGAGTGCAAGATCTGGATTCTTGAGTCGAAAATGCAGAACATGAATATGTTTTTCTGAGAGAAAACAGTGTGTAGGAAAGTGCTGTGGTATCTGGGAGAGTCACAGAAGTTAGCCCTTGAGGAGGGCCAGAGGCAGGGTCACGGCTGGTTTTTCTCAGACTCACTCTGGACTGGGCTGGTGGCCCCACCGGGACACATTATTTTGTGCTGGGCGTGGGTGGGTGGCCACCTGCTTCCTGCAGCGTGGTCTTAGCCTCTTACTTCAACACTCTAGGCCTACATTTGCTCAGCTGTGACTATAGAAGGAGGACCTACTTCCCAGGGGCTTCGTGAGGATCCAGTGAGAGGATATGTGCACAGGATCTCTCGTAGTAATGGGTACATAGTTCACATCCATTAAACGATGGCTGTTGGATCTGCTGCTCCAGGGCAGGGCAGGGAAGACTGTCTCCATGCCCCGAAGGGTGGCCGCTGCACCAGAGACTCGGCTAGCTCCCTCCAATCTGCAGGTTGGCAAAACACATCCCTCTGCTGGGCAGGAGCATGCTAATGTCTCAGAGGAGCCCTTTATCTGGGGGGCTTTTAGGATCTAAAACAAAAGTCTCCAATTGATTTCTCCATAGTCATGAGCTATCTCAGTCCATCCCTCCAAGCCAAAATCTACTCGGAATTCCCTGAGAAGTAAAAATTTCAAAAGGGACCTCGCATTTCCAAAGTACAGAGCCCTTGGGTGGCAGGGAGCATCACTGTGAGTCAAGATGGTTTAACCCTTAAATATAGAAGAGTGGCCCCCCGCAGCTGAGGATATCCCAAAGCACAGCAGCGAGGGCATCTGTTGAGATCTGATCCATCCTGCCATGACTCTCCTGGCTCTGTTCTCTCCCCCACCACATGCCTTGGCAAGAAGCTGTGGCAGCCCTTCGCCTTCCATCTTGACCTGAACATCTGGGGGAAAGGCAACAGGAGTTGCTTAAAAACTTTCTGGAGAGAAGAAAACCAAAAGCTTTTTTTTTTTTTTAATAATCTGCAAGCCAACATCCCTCTTGATCCTTGCCTAAATTTGGCCCCATGTTTACTTCTGAGCCAGTTCCTCTGACTTATTAAATGCACTGGGTCCCAAGTCCACCCTGAATCAGTCACTGGAGCTCAGGGATGGCATATTGTATTAGCTTAAATGAAGTAGAGTCCACCCCTAGAGATTGAGTCAACCCCCTACCCCTCAGCGCTGCTCAGCAGGAGGGACAGAGTGAGACAGATGCCGCTTTACTGGTATTCACCTCACTGTCACCTTCAGTTAAGCAGGCAATTATAGAGTGTCTGTTGTGTGCCAGGCAGGGTACAGGCTGCCAGGAGGACACCAAGAGGCCAAGTGTTGTTGCGAAGGATAAACGAGCCCGCTTATGCAAAGTGCCTGGTGTAGCCCTCAGCCCCTGAGATTCCTCGGTATTGTCTTCATTAAAATGAATAATGCATGCGTGATCCTTGCTATCCAGGAGAGAGAGAGACTTAAACTAATAAATTAGAGCAGCGTGCAAAGAGGAAGCCTGCGGGCAGCATCAAGGGGAGAGATCCCACAGGAGTATGCAAAAAACCCAACCAAGTACAGTCCCGGGCTCTTAACCTTGGCTTCACATCTGATTCACTAAGGAGCTACTCGACTCCCCGCTCCAAGTTAAGTCGGAACCCCTGGGTGTCAGGGGAAGCACAGGGCATCTGTTTATCTTTTTAAAGATCCCCCAGATGATTAAACCGAGGTGCTAAACCACAGTTTTAGGCTCCAGAAGACAGAAAACACAGAAATAGAGCATCCTCTAACAATGCCAGGTCGCGGGGGGATATGTTAACATCAACTGTCCCCTTGGGTTCCAAGGCTCAGGGCAGAAAGCACAGGGAGACCCTGAGCAAGGAGAGGGCATGAAGGACTGGGGACTCAGGGAAGGTTTCAGAGAACAGCAGGGGACAGGGAGCCTAAGGGACCTCAATAAACTGTGAGATTTGCCTAAGCAGAGCTACCGGAGGCGGGCGGGGTCTCTGTGTAAAGAGGAACAGGTGTAAGTGCAGGTAAGTGGGCAAACCCAGAAGGTGTTATCAGTGAGTAGCCAACAGGAAGGAACCCCACCTCGTGACCTCTATTATCAATAGGGAAATAAATCACACACACACACACACACACACACACACACACACAGAGATGAATCACAGAGTTTGCTTTCCCTCTCAGGCTTATGGGACTCACAGTCAATGTAACCCTGGCTCCATAGCCAGTTGGTGTCTTGACAGGGTCACTGGTACCCAGCCTCCACAGGGCAAATGATGGAGCCTCTGTTTCTTTCAGGGGGAGAAGTCGCCAAACCCCGGTTTGCGCAGTTCTTCCACGGCAGCCTGGCCAGCCTCACCATCCGCCCTGGCAAGATGGAAAGTCAGAAGGTGATTTCCTGCTTGCAGGCCTGCAAGGAAGGGCTGGATATTAACTCCTTAGAGAGCCTCGGGCAAGGAATAAAGGTAAGAAAGGAGCCCAGTGTCACCCCATGGAGATGTTGATTTATGAGGCTGAGGCTGCCCCACATCCTGGTAGGCCAGGAACGAGTTTATTTCTTGCACAGAAATGGTGCCAATGCAGAGTGGGGGAGGTTTGTGGCTGTGACTTCCAAGAGGGACTGACTTCTGCTGCCATCTCCTGAAACTCTTGAGATCCAGTCCTCGTGGACCATCGGCCCACGCCCTACAGTCAGCACGTGCATCAGGTCTGCCTGGAGGAAGTGATTCGAGTCTGTGGGTTGATCGTTTGCTTTGCTGTTCATTCGCCTAAAAGAACTGAAGCCGCATGCAAGAATACGTCTCAGGCAGTGTAGGAAAAATAAATACACCCCCCAAAGGATCGAAAAATAAGTAAATAATCAGGACCCAGAGCGATACATGAGAAAGGAAAGGGAAAACAGAGGGGGCAGAATTGGGGGTCATTGGGTCTACATCATTATGGTGACGCACAAGTCATACTCCCAGCAATCCCTGGCCATCAAAAGGAATGTGAACAGATTCACTATTTTTATTGCCCATGTGAAACAAAAATATTCAAGTGATCTGAGAGAATTAAAGCTATGTTCTGAGAAAAAGCATCTCCTGAAGGGAGCAGGGAAGGATGTGACCGGCTATGGGGTGATTTTCTGCCTCACCCGGGCTTAAAGAGCTCCTGCTGCCAGTGGGTCCCTTGGGTGCTAAATAAGTGGCAGAGACAATATCATTGGAGCCCCTGCTCCATCAACATGGCCCCCAGTCTGGGAAGGCAGAGGCAGTCTCTCAGCTCTTCTCAGGAAGTCAGGGTGGCCCAATCTCTGTCTCCTGGGGACAATGATGGCTACCCAGAGCCCTAGAAGCTGTGACAGTTCCCCTCCTTGGTCGTTTTCCAAGGGAGGGATTCTACAGAGAGGTTTCCCAGGTGCTGCCCATCTTTACCCAGCTGTGTCCTACTGTCCCACCCTGGGCCTGCCTGCCCTGAACAACAGAGTGACTGAGGACCTCCCTCTGCAGGGGGCCTACTGCCTATGACCTGCACACTGGGCAACTCTGGAAGGACTGTGGTCATCAAGCCTTCCATGGACACTTGTATTTGCTCTGAGCTGTGAACTCAGATACCAAAATTAATGTCCCCAGCTTCCTGTCTGCAGGGGCCATTTGTAATGGAGCTTGATGACTTCTTCAATGATGGGGAGCCCTGGAATTCACCAGCCTCCCTCTGCCGGCCACTGTTTGTTCTAAATGCTTTATGGTTATTATTTCTGAGAATTTCCCCTTGACAGAGAGGACCATGAATATTTTTCATTTTTCACAGTAGGAACTGAGGACTGAAAGAGAAAGATCCCTAAGATTGGAGAATTAATGATAGGCAGAGCCAGAATTGGAACCCAGGGAATCCTGATCCCAGACTCTGGACTCTGGGTAAATGGCAGTCAGAGAAGCCTCCCCAGGGAAGGCAAGGCCAGAGCAGAATGTGCAAGGAAGGGCAGGTAGGAACCAACCTGGAGAAGAGCAGGAGGCAGGCGAGAGGACTGTCCTTCCAAGATCCTGAGCGGTGCCAGGGCAGGCGCCTGAGGAACATCACAGGGAGCACTGGAAAACTTTAAGGCCAACACTAAGGTGCCCAGATTGCAGTGGACAACCAGGAGAAAGTGGGACCAGAGAAGTAGACAGAGGCCACATCTTTGTTTAGGTGTTTACAATTATTTTTTCTATTAGCAACTGGGAGCCATTGAAGGGCCACACAAGGGAGCATAATCTTGGTGACTGTGGGGTTTAAGGGTTCACCCATGAGACTGGGTCAGAGGAGAAATATGGAAGGAGTACAGGAAGCATCATAAAGCAAGATTCACTTTCCAGATCACTGTTTAACACGGCTGGCACAGAAGCTCATGTGCATGTGCACATGCGCGCGCACTCGCACGCGCACGCGCACACACACACTCTTCGGCTAGTCACCTGTCTTTGGACGAAGCTCACAAGATGGCCTCATATTGGAAAGGCCAGTCTTGACCCCACTGTATGTGTTATTTTCTTAGGGTTTTGTCAACCAGTGATGCAGAGATCATTCTCCAAATCTCCTCTCTTTTTATCTGATTCTGGATTTACCCCCTGCCTCTGAGTGCATCTTCTCTGCTCTGAGCCACCACATGAAGCCACAGTTGCAGAGTTCCAGGCTCTTCCAAGCAAATAAACCAAAGATGCTGGACTTAAAATCCATGCATCTTTTAGAATGGTGAATTAAGAAACAGAGGAGTCTTGGCCTTTTGAAAAGCAGAAACGTTGCAATAAGTGGCATCAAATGGGGGGTGGGGTTGCCTGGCTTTTCAGGATGCCAGCGGTTCTTAACCAAATCACTGCAAATGATCCTTTTCCATCCCCTGGGCACGTCTGGTGAGAACTAGAGCACTGTGTAAGAAGTTAATAAGACAATTTATGGAGCGCCACTGGGGGCGATTTTACGTTCATTATCCCCACTCTTCAAAACAGATTAAATATTATGACCTCATTTCAAAAATAAGGGGACTGAGGCTCAGGGACTTGTCCAAGATAAATCCACACTCTTTTCCTCTGCACCGGCAACTCAGATTAGAAGATGATCTTGAAAATTATTAAAACTAACTTCCTTCCTTCCCTGCATTTATCCCTCACATCATTTCTGAATAATGGCCCTTATTTTATTTGCTGGTTACTGGCCTCCTCCTGCTTCTCCAAACAGAAGAATTGAAGCCCTCCTGTGATTAAGAAAATTCCCTGCCTGCTCCTAGGGCGGGACACAGGTCCCTCTCTTTTCTTCCTCTGGATCATGCACATTTCTGAGTATTTCTCCGGCTGTCTCAAGTCTTTGGTTGTGGTGGTTGTGGTCTTCCATCCAGGCGAGATGCTGTGGAATAGCCACATTCCTGAAGAAGACCCTGTTCTGATTTTCACAGAGCAGTCCTCCATCACTGTCATCTTTACAGTGTGAAAGAGCAAGGATTTTAGAGTAAGGCATACCTGGGTTCAAGTCACACCACCAATATTTGTTATCAGGGTGACTCGACAAGATTTAATCCCTTCATGCGAACTCTGCATGTATAAAATTGACTTAATATTAATCTTTTAGCTATAAAAATTGAATAGAAGAATATATATGTACATATACATACATACACACACAAGTGCATACACACACATCAGCAAACCTAAGCAGGTCTCAAAAAATCACAGGTCCCTTTGTCTTGGGGCAGCCTCTAGAGTAGCAGTCTTTATCTGGTCCAGCCCACAGCGAATGGTAGATAGCAGGCGTCTTGGGGAAGTCAAGATGCCTACAGAGTCCAGAAACAAGCAGAAACCTCACTGAGGGCCCATCCTGCTTGGTGGCTAGAGAAACCAGCTGAGCCTCTAGGCAAGGTGACCATTCTGGAAGGGCCATCTCTCTGTCCTTAGGCCATCTCTGGGCTCACTGTGGCCCTAACACAACTTCCCAATGGAGAACAAACACTGCCATGCTTTGCTGAAGCCCCAAGGATACCACCATCCCCTGCCCCTGGGGTGATGCCAGTGTGAACAGAGACCCACTCACAGAGCAGAGAATTGTGTAGCTGGAAAAATTCAAGAAACTACTCCCTGGAGGGTTTTATTGATCTTACAAGAACTCTCGGTGGCTAGGGCAATGCAACTTCATTCTCTGTGACATTCTGGCAGGCAGAACAGGGTGTCAACTAGCACATCCCTCTGGGAGAAGCTCCTGCTTTTCCTGTCCAGCCCTCATGCTAGGCTGAGAGCAGGCATTTTTGCAAGCCTCATGGTCCCTCTCTTGCTTGTCATGGGATGGACACTGTGGCAATGCTAAGGAAAAATCAGCAGACCCTTCCCTTGAGGTGCTCACAGCGTGCTGCAGGATGCAGACAGACAGACAGACAGCAATAGCACCAGACTCTGCTATAGTAAAAGGCAAGGTGGGGGAGAAGGGCAGAAAGCCATTTGAAATCATAAATGATATTTTTAGAAGAATGAACTTGAATTTTCTCAAATCTGAAACAGGTGACTTGAGAAACATCTAAGATTTAATTACAACTCACCAGCGTGTGGCGGCTCAGGGGCTGAACACCCTACGCTGCCGGTGAAGCATCTGTGGCTAGAGACACAGCAACGCAGAGCTGATTGCCATGTGCCTAGCACACAGGGGCAGTGCTTGCGGCCAGAAGCACAGTCATAGAGACCCTTTAAGGGACAAAATAGAGTGGGACCATGGGGAAGGAAGAGCAGAGAAGACAAGGGGTGGCCCCACGAGCAAAGGTTTGGCACAGACAGAAATGCCATGTGATCAGAGCTATTGTAGGCCAGACACCTTGAATGTGCTAGAAACTTTACACCAGTCCAGCATTCTGGGCTGGTAAAAGATATGAAGCAAAAGACTGAAGTAAAAGATCTATGCTTCCAAAGGTCTGAAGCACAAAATGCTCCAAATCCAAAACTTGTTGAGCACTCATGTGACGTCCAGAGCAGAAAATTCCCCACATAATCTCATGTGACAATCCAGTCGAAACACAAGTGCATGAAAAACGTTGTGTGAAATTCCCTTCAGACTATGCATCAGGGGTGTCTATGAAACATCAATGAACTTCATGTTTAGACTTGAGTCTCATCCCCAAGATATCTCATTATATAGATCCAAGTACTCCAAAATCTGAAACACTTAGTCCCAAGTGAGTCCTCTATATGGGTTAAACCATTGTGGTCATGTCCTCAAAATCTCAATGGCTTAACACTTAAATTTTTTTTTCTCTTATACTTAGTCAGGGAGGTCACTGAAGTGTCCCGCAAGGCAAGGCATCTCCCCGCCTAGGCCCAGAGCACCACACCCCACCTCCTGGGTCCATCTTTTTGTGGATTTAAGGGAAAATCAGTGTCTTGTTGGCTAGGTGTGGTCACATGACCCTGGCAAGGACTGATAATGAGTTCCAATGAAAAGCCAAGTCAATGGAAAGTCCCTTTGGGGATTGGCAGGGGTGACGCTGTGTGAAATGTGGGCCCAGGAGCTCTTTACTTGTTCATCCAACAGCGCTCTCAGAACACTAGGGCTAGGTTCTGGGATTCAGGAGAAGAGTCAGGGTCTCTGGGCTCAGCAGCCCCATGTCACCATACTAGTGTAATAAGTGTACGACCATTTTGTAAGTGCCACGGAAGGAAGGGACCAAAGCCCAGTGGAACCTCAGTGAGAGAGCCCAGAAGCCTCAAGGAGTGGGGAATGAGAAGACACACCCCTGATAGAAAGGGATGAACATGGAGCTGTTGGCCGGAAAACAAAAAAAAAAACAAAAAGGTTCAATGTCACCAGTAGTGCTCATGACACATCCATCTCTCGTTGGGGTGCACATACACAACAGTGTGCCCTCATGAGGTCAAGTCAGATCTGGAAAAGGTGAATATAGTCTGATTTTCCCTTAAATCCACAAAAAGACGGACTCGGCCTCCTTCATGGTAAGAGCCATACAAAATAAAACTACACTGACATGGCATTTGTCATCTACCAGATTAATGAAAATCCAAGTCTAACAACAGGCCGTGTCGCCAAGGTGCTGAGAAAAGAGGTGTTGTCACTCACTGTTAGAAGGAGTGCACACTGACTCGACCCAGCAATGGGGAACTTGGTAATGTTGATCAAAGTTAAGTGTAGGTGCTCATTGACCTAGTCATCAAAAAATTTAACACCAAAAAACAAACAACCCCAATGAATACATTGCAAATGACGGAAATAAATACCTCTCAAAAGAAGAAATACCCATGACCAACAAATACTTGAGAAGATGCTCAACATCATTAACAAGTAAGGAAATGCAGATCCAATTGACACTGAAATTTCATCTGACTCCAGTTAGAATGGCAGTCATTAAGAACACAAGCAATAATAAGTGCTGGGGAGGGTGTGGAGGAATAGGAACATTTTTACACTGTTGGGGGCGGATTGTAAATTAGTGCAACCACTGTGGAAATCAGTATGGAGGTTGCTCAGGAGACTAGGCATGGAACCACCATTTGACCCAGCTATGCTAGTCCTCGGAATTTATCCTGAAGAATTAAAGTCAGCACACTGTGGCCAGATATGCACACCCATGTTTATAGAAGCACAATTCACAATAGCTAAACTATAGCACCAGCCCAGGTATCTGTCAATGGGAGGATAGATGAAGAAACCGTGATACATATATACATATATATACACATACACACACGATGTTTTATTCAGACACAAAAAAAAAAATTAAACTATGTCATTTTCAGAAAAATGAGTTGAACTTAAGAACATTATGCTAGGTGAAATAAGTCAAACTCAGAAAATCCAGGGTCGTATGTTTTCTCTCCTATATGAAAACTAGGGAGGAAAAGGGAAAGAAGATGGCGCATCTCATGAAAATCAAAGGGAGGTCAGTAAAGTAGAGGAAGGGAACCAGGGACAGAGGGGAGGGAAGGGACAGGGAACTACTAGGGAATGACATTGGCCAAATTATATTTTAATATCATGTGCATGTACAAAATTGTAACAACAAACCCACCATTGTATATAATTGTAATGCACCAATTATAAATATGAGAAAAAAACAAAAGTTATCTATAAAAAATAGTACACATCTTATAAAAAGGAATCATGAAGCTGTTCATGTACTAAAACAGAAACATCCAAGAGATAAAAGTTAAGTGAGAAACACAAAGTATGATACATCATGTTATATGCTACCTTTGATATAAGAAAGGCAAAGGCGAAAATCTGTATTCAATGATAATATATAAGAGTGCTTAAGTATAACTGTCAGGATAGGTTAGGTTATGCTTCAGTAACAAATGACTTAACATCTTAGAAGCTTATACAATACAATTTTTACTACTTGTGCTTCATACGCACTGCAGATTGGCTGTGTCTCTAATACATACCACCTTCACTGTGAGACTAGGCCCATGGACCAGGAACTAAAGGAATTTTGCAAGTTTTATGGCAGAGAGAAAGAGACATGATAAACCATGGATTGGCTATGAAACCTTCCATCTCAGTGTGAACCAAGTGATATTTCTGCTCACATGTCACTGAGCAAGCAAGCCACACGAGCACTCCTGAGTGCAGCGGGGCAAAAATGTGTATCCTGTGGGGAAGGGTACCATCAATCACCAGGTTAATAGGATAGACATGTGTAGGCCTCTCTCTGGGAGAGGAATCAACAAACTCTGCCCAAGATTGCAATTTACTACTGAGAAATTAATATAAGAGTGCTTACCTGTGGGATCAGATTGTGGAAACTGGATGGATGAGACATAGGAAAAAGACCTATATTTTTCACTTAACTTATATATACATTTGAACAGAGTGAGTATACGATATACTCAGAAGTATATATGTTAAGTCAGGTACCTATGTAAAAATGTATCCATCCCCCCTTACCTGTGGCACGACCCCTTGAGCCTTGGGTATATAATCTGAATCCACAGAATGTTCTTTCCGTCCTATTGACAATAATTCCAAATAATACTTACTCAGTAGATCAGAATCAGTAACTCACAGAAATACAAAGGCAGCTCTCCATGTTCCCTTTGAAGAAGAGTAACTACTCAGGGGGCCTGGGAAGGAGCGAGGATCTGGATGTAACTCAAGGCCCCAGGCCACTCAATGAGGGACGCTTGGGTCTCCACCACGTGTGGGACTCCAGAGGCTGGATAGATGAGAAACCCACACATAAAACTTGTGGGAAACCTTGAGGTCTGGAAGAGAAGGAAAGCAGTTAACTGGAAAATGAGCCCTAAGTTTAGACGCTAAGAAAATGTATGCTGGGTCATGAGTGGAGTGCAGGATGGACTGGGGAGCCGTTCAAGGCCAGAGACAAGAACAGCAGGAGGAGGCAACACCCAAGTTGGGGCAATCAAGGGCTAGAAGTTGCTGGACTAGACCACCCAGGAGTCTGGGCCAGGCTTCTGACTGGGTTTTCAGAATTCCATCCTGTGGCTCAGGCTGACCTTACTGGGAGTTTACAGTCCCTAGAGAGAACTCCGGAGGAGGTTCCCAAAGCCCAGCAGGGAGTAGCAGGAGCTGCTCTGCAGCTCAGGAGGTTGAAAGCAGCCATTTGTGCACACGCTTCACTTGCAGATGCTCTGAGGATGCCTATGGGGACCTCATGGCCTTTTCATGGCATTGGAGAGCTTCCAGGGGACTCTGCCTATGGCTGACCACTCTCTCCCGTGACCCCCCCCCCTACACTTCTGTCTTCCAGTATCACTTCAACCCCTCGCAGTCCATCCTGGTGATGGAAGGGGACGACATTGGGAACGTCAACCGCGCCCTCCAGAAGGTGTCCTACATCAACTCCAGGCAGTTCCCGACGGCAGGCGTGCGGCGCCTCAGAGTGTCCTCCAAAGTACAGTAAGTGGACGCCAGTCTGTCTAGGACCCTAACCATCCTGGAGGTAGCAGGGATGTTGCTTTGGGAACATTCCCTTGTGAAACAGGATTTTGCAGTTCTTCATGTCTCTGCTCTCGCTGGGAGGCTGCTGCGATGGATCCGGTCTTCCTCGTGCTTTCTTAAGGAAAACACTGTTTCTCCAGCTTGCACCCACCTCTCTGTGCTTCATTCTGCATCTAGTCTGAGGCCTGGGGGGATGGCTTCCTATAAATTGTCAAAAGACGGGGTTTGAAGTGGTCTGACTTGAAGACACACTGCCTGCCCTGGTACATGGTAGGCATTTGGCAAAGACTTATTAAATTGAATTAAACGAATCAACCCAGCCTCCCAGAATTCCTGAATACTGTAGGTAAAGCCAGAGGAAGAAAGGGCATGGTTCTTGTCCCCAGGGAGATGAGTTAAATTAACAAAACCACACAGGGACGGCAATCTTTGGATAGCACACTTATGGCCCATCAAATCACTTCCCAGCCAGAGCAGCTACCTGGGAAGGCCATTAGGAAGAAGGCCCCAGAGAGACTCCCGGGAATGGAGTCTCCAGGCACCTAGAGTAGAACGACTCAGAGATGAACAATGGGGAAAGATGGCCTATTGATGACTGCATTGCTGGGGCCTGGGAAGGAGGAGTTACACTCAGGAGGCAATGGAAGGGTCATTCCTACCCCTGGAGGCCTGGGGGTCGGGTGGGCACCTCCAAGTCAGTTCCACATTGGAGCAAAGAAAGGGCTGAGACCGGCCAGTGAGCAGCTCTGAGAACAGGCTTCCAGAAACTGCCAGGGGAGAGGAACTTTTATGCCTCTGTGGCCCAAAGACCCAGCAAGAACAATTTTCAAAGAGGAAACATATATTTGGCAGTGGTCTCAGTCCATAGATGGCAGATTCCATTGCTCTTGACCCAAAGTGAGGCAGAACATCACGGTGGAAGGGTGCGGAGAGTAAAGCAGTTCAGGATATGGCAGAAATAAACAAAACATAAACCCCAAAGGCATGGCCCAGTGACCTACCTCCTCCAACCACATCCCACATGCCTGTAGGTACCACCCCGTTAATCCCTGTCAGTGGATCCACCCAGACGGCCCTTCCCTTGGGGACCTTCCCAATGCATGCAAGATTTTGGCTGCCTCCAGGGGTATCATTTGACCCAGGGTTCGCCATTGGAGCCAATATTTTGCCTTGATGACATTGGGGAATACCAGTGACACCAGGGCCACCCTGAGGTCTAATGAAAGAGACAGACCCACTAAACTTTCCTGATCCCAAACCATGAGGCAGGTTCTGGGCAGCCTTTTTCTAGAGGCTTCTAGATTCTTAATACCAGGACGATTATATTTATCCTCATTATATAGATGAAGAGACTGGGGTTCACAGCCGTGGAACACCCTATTCAGTCTCCCAGCCTAAGAGTGGCAGAGTCGGGCTGTGGACCCCCCATCTGTCAAACTTCCCAGTCTTTACTCTGTGGTCATGCCACTGAGCCTCTCAGATACTTTTGTGGCAATGCATCAGGAGAAAGGAGCCACAGCGGTCTGTCCCCACCCCTGGGAGAGGCGCACTTGTGTAATCTCCCAGAGAAATCTAACACACACCCTGCAGCAGGAGACGTTAGCTCTGGGCTCTCATGCAATAAGTTGGCTGCAACCAACCAGTGAGACGACAATTTGCTTCTAAATACTAATGCAATTAATATAGCAGTTGCTATCTAGTTAATGTTGCCATTGATTACTTTGTTAAAGGATAATGAAAGCTTTAATAGTTCCTTGTGGATTGCATGGAAAACACCCATTCCTCCCAGGAGCCAACCATTGAAATCCCTACATTACTGGTAGTTGGGACTATAATGTAGCTTTGAAGCTCTGTCGATCTCCTCCGAGACTCCGGCAGCTCGCCCACAGCTCTGGAGCGGACGGTTGGACCGTTTACTTGTCAGCGCTGTGACTGAAGCTGTCTTTCCAGGTGCTTTGGGGAAGACGTGTGCATCAGCATCCCTGATGTGGATGCTTATGTGATGGTCCTGCAGGCCATCGAGCCCCAGATCACCCTCCAGGGCACAGATCGCTTCTGGAGACCTGCCTCCCAGTTTGAAAGCTCCAGAGGAGTGATCCTCTTCCCCGACATCAAAATCGTGAGCACCTTCGCCAAGACTGAGGCTCCTGGGGACGTGAAAAGCACAGGTACAGGTGCCTATGGGGTTGTGGGGAAGGTGCGCCTTCATTTCTTGTAGCCATATAAAATCCTGCTTCAGCCATATAAAATCCTGCTTCAGGACAACAGTGCCGTTCACCATGGTGGGGCAGTGCACAGGAGCAAAACAAACAGTGCTGGGAAAAACGCCAAATGAACTATGGGGGGTGGGAGGGATAGGTGGACTGGAGAATAATGGCCCCACTCACACGAGCACCATCGATGCTAAATAATAAGTCAAAAAAGTAGGATCACACAATATCTCCACTTAGCAAAGTGTCAACTATGTAAGAAGAAAAACAAGAAAGGCCAGGCTCCATGGCACATACCTGTAACCCCAGCAATTCAGGAGGCTGAGGCAGGAGGATCTCAAATTCGAGGCCAGCCTCAGCAACTTAGCAAGACCCTCAGCCATGTACAGAGACCCTGTTTCAAAATACAAACAAAAAGGGCTGGGGATGTCGCTCCATGGTAGAGAGTACCTTGGTTCAATCCCCTGTACCAATAAGAAAGAAAGAAACACCAAAAAGAAGAGACTGCCTAAGAGTGAGTGATATTCTTCGAGATGCACGAGGAGAGTCAATTTGTTTTGCTTCCCTTCACTTTTCTGAAACTGCAAAAAAAAAAAAAATAGGGCAAGCATTATTCTGATGAGCATCAGAAAAAAAGCTAAAGATGCACAAGGAACAAAATATTATTTTATTAATATAAATGCAGTAGAAGTTAGAAGTCACTCAGCAACATGGCTCTAAACTCTCCAGAAGGTTCCATTCTTGGGAGGTTTGCTCAGGCAAAGAGTAAATTATCTGTCAGGGAGAAAGACTTCGTTGCACTGAGAGCTACTGTGTGTGCAGGCAGGGAACCGGGGGAAGGAAGGAGGTAGTGAAAGCAGGAGAGGGGAAGAGACTTCCTTCTGTTACCAGAGGGGCCCAGGGTTCTAGGGAAAGCATCTGTTTGAGATCTGTTCTTTCTGCTTCTTCCAAGAGAACACTTTCAACCCTCCTCTCTCCCTCCAAAAGCCACTACTAATGATGTGTTGGTGCCAGTAGGCCTGAGTCCCTGCAGAACTGCTTCTATAATAATCCTAATTATCCACTGCCTTCAACCACACCAGTCCCTAGCGAATGGGGTGCTCAAGAGGCAGCCCTTCTGAGCTCATAAAAATAGACAATGCTTCACCACCGGTCTGGGCAGGGTGGCTTCCCAGTTATGTGCCAAGGTGCATTAGGTCGTATGAACATCCCTCTCTCCACTGCCTTCATTGGTGGCTAAAATCAGCCAGCCAGCCAAAGGAAGGCCTGCTGACCTCAGTGGCTGCAGCCCAAGAGCATCTGGATTTGCTGCATCTGACACTGACACCCAGGCAGCACGGGGAAAGCAATTATCTGGGTGCACATTTCACCTTCTATTTATGACAGGTGCATGCAGAGCACACGGCCAAGTGCCCGAGAACTATTATTAGTACTTCAAAATTTTTACTCTTATTGTTGTTGGGAATAATCATGATTATAGGTGTCTTAAATAAGCAGGCTGATGGCACTTGCTGTGGAGCCTCAGAAACTGGCCCTAGTGTCCTCTTCTGCCCTCACTGACTCACTCTTTATGTGATCTCAGTGCCAAGGACAGGAACTCCCTCCCGACACACACACACTGTTAGTTCACACCTCTGCTCTCCTCTCTGCCTGGAAGGTCGTTCCCTTCCTCAGCCCCATTATTGCTGGCAAACATCTCTGCCTACCACCCCACCTCTGTCCTACACCACCCTGAGCCCCAGGCTGGACCAGTCTCCGGCTCTGGACATTGCAGACTGCTGGACCTTCCCTTTAGCACCCAACATTTCCAGCTCTTGGAGGTGATGATCTGTCTATTAAACTAGATCAGGAGCTCCCTGAGGGCTCAGCTCAGGGAGATTCACCTGAACCCAGTGGCCCCTTCAACACAATGGAATCAAGGGAACTGCGGATGGATGACACCAGCAACAGAGAGCACAGGAAATGGCAGTGAGGACCCTTGCCTACCTCCCTACCTAGCGCTGGGGCTGTCACACAGGGAAGGAGGAGTCGGAAGGATCTAACTCCCCTCCCATGAGCTGCAAAGAAGCAGAAAAACTGTTGAGAAGCCATTTGACACTATTGTTAATGTTCGACTTGTCTCCAGTGGATGTCATTGGGCTTTCAGATCTTGCTAACGTCTCGTGAAACCACTGTGGTTGACGAATAGTTAAAAAGTAAATCTATAGAAATTATTTATAATAACATACATATAGTGAGAACAAAACTCTTTTAGACATATTGAAAAAATCAATCAAAATAAAAATTCTTTCAAAATAATTATCCTTTGCGAATCCCTGTTTTTAAGTTTCTATTTTCATGAATGTTTCATAAGACACAATATATAGCTAGCCTGCTTTGGGGATGAAGAAATATACTTATTCAAATGGACTCGGTTCACAAATCTTTCAAGAGCAGTTGAAGACCAAGCGCTCAGGGGTTACAAGTTTCCCAACTGGGATCGGAAGAACATGGTGTCTAGCTCGGTTCTCCCCCTGAGTCTCTATAACCTGGAGCAGCTCCACCCTGTGACCTTGCATTTCCCCATTGGTGAGATGAGGATAACACTAGTACCCCCTTCATGCCTATTAGGGTTGCACTGGCATAGTTCCTAGCACAGATCACCCTCCATAAATACCAGTCACCTTTATCTGAAGATGAGATTTTAATTTAGAACTTCCAAGCAATGTCCACCATTCAAATACTCAGGTGTTCCTCGGAGAAACTTGGAGTCATAAAATCAGGCAGGGGCCACCAGACTGAACAACTGATTAACCCACTAATTATTAACAAATTATCAATTAATTATTGGTTATATTGTGCTGACTTAATTGATTATGAATCAATAATCCAGCTCCATTTGAACCATGCCTAGTAACAACTGTTCCATGGCAGCTTCTGCATCAGACATGGGGGATCCAGTCAGGTACTTCTGCCCTTGAGAACCTCAGAGCCTGGTGGGGGAGACGGACACACACAATGGCCACATGACGAAGCTGTGAGGTCAGGGTGCCAGGCCACTTAGCTCTCCCCTAATTGAGGGCTGTGGCTAATGGAGGCCCTAGCCTGAGCAGGACACTATTTTCAATACTCCCAAGACCCTAGCTCTCTCCAGGGACAAGGAAACTGAGTGCCGGGGAGTTTATCTAACATTTTTACAGCTTCTGGGAGGTAGAGCTGCTTTCCAGTTTCCATCTTTTGACTATCATATTCACACCGTTCCCACTAATTCATGCCACCCAGCCTCAGCGCCACCTGACAGGTGCGCGACGGGGCTGGTATTTGGGATTGCACAGCCTCGTCTCCCGCCCCAGCCCAGGTGCAAACAGAAGAGAGATGAGGAGCAAGGGCTGCCGTCCCAGCAGTCCTCATGCCTGTGTCCCCCACCCGCACCTTCCCACAGCTCCCAAATCGGCAGTCCTAGAAGAAATGCTTCACAACTTAGACTTCTGTGACATTCTGGTGCTTGGAGGGGACTTGGACCCTCGGCAGGAGTGCTTGGAGCTCAGCCACAGTGAGCTGCACCAGCGACACCTGGATGCCACCAACTCCACTGCAGGCTATTCTATCTATGGTAAGGTCCTGCTCAGCACCGCCCAGCCCAGGGGTCCTCTCTGCACCACCTTGACAGAGGCCCGGGTGTGGCGGCACCTGTAGGCAGCCCTGGGGCCAGCTAGAGACCCTGGATATCAGGGGCACGGTGTCTAGACTCTCCTTTGGAGAGCTACTCCAGCATCTAGGAGTATGGTCCCCCATCCCAACTTCTGGCAAAATCTGTAGAAACCAGCAGGAAACTTCTCCTATAATGTTGGATCCCAATGTTACGGCAATATTTGGGAGACTGAGGCCCAAACATTCCAGTAGAAACCAGTCTATGTGGAAACGCTCAGTCAGTTGCATTGGTCCCTTGGAACTTCTGCTCTGCACATTGTCTACCCCTCACATCTGGACCTCTTAGCCCTGATGGATTCACAAGACCCACGAGTTCCAGCAGCCCCAGCCTGTCTCCCCCTTCTCCTCTTCCTCCTCTTTCTTTTGCTTCCTGATGACGAGTGCGGTCTCTTGGCACAGGTGTGGGCTCCATGAGCCGCTACGAGCAGGTTCTGCGTCACATCCGCTACCGCAACTGGCACCCGACTTCCCTGGACACCCGGCGGTTCCGGATCAAGTGCTCAGAGCTCAACGGGCGCTACACGAGCAACGAGTTCAACTTGGAGGTGAGGACAGACACCCTGCGTGGTCGGGGAAGCCCTGAGTCACCTGTTCAGTCCCTCGTGCTTTCAGGAGAACTATGACAATCGGCCCACCTGCCACTCCTGGTGACTGTCACCCCTTCTTGCTCTTCCCAGGTCAGTGTCCTCCACGAAGTCAGAGCCTCAGACAAGGAGCATGTCAACCACCTTATTGTGCAGCCTCCCTTCCTCCAGTCTGTCCATCACCCCGAGTCCCACAGCAGCATCCAGCGCAGTTCAGGTAGGACACCTAAGAGGAGGGACCTCAGGATGCGGGGTGGTCACTGTGACTCAAGATTGTCCACTAAACAGCTAGGTGGCAGCAGCTGTAGGCACTCAGAACTGTGGAGAGGCATCCTGCTGTGGAGAAGATATGGGTCCTTCCTGGGAGGACCCGGCTGCCCTGGGGATCCAGTCAAGTAAGCGAGACATTACGCACAATACATAGTAGCCGAGGTTGCTACAAAATTAAACCAGTACCTTCAGGTCTAGCTCTGGATGAAGCTTTGCCTGAAGCCCTTACATGCACTCTCACACAGATAGCTTACATACATACACACACACACCATATTGTAAAGTCTCCTGTCCATACCACTGTGGAGCACTTACCATAGTGTGTCATCTGGGGCCATTTGTGTCTCTCCCTTCTAAACTTTAGAGTACCTGGGTCTCAGTGAGGGCTCTTTTGTAATCAGAAGGGAGAAGCCTGAGGTAGAAGAGAGCTAGCATTTATTGAACACCTACTCTGTGCCTCTGCAGAAACTCACATATTCTTTGCAATGACCCACAGACAGGAACTATTGACTCTGCTACATAGAGGATGAAAGTATAGCCCAGACAGGGTCAGGGGCTGACCTAGAGTTCTGGGGGGGAAGTGCATTTTAACCCAAGCATGGATGCTTGGTTCATGCTCCATCGCAGAATGCACTAGGCCTTTGTTCATCCTGTCACGTGGGTTCCTTCCTCCTTGCAGTGGTCCCGAGCATCGCCACAGTGGTCATCATCATCTCCGTGTGCATGCTAGTGTTTGTGGTGGCCATGGGCGTGTACCGAGTGCGGATTGCCCACCAGCACTTCATGCAGGAGACCGAGGCTGCCAAGGAGGCCGAGATGGACTGGGACGACTCTGCACTGACCATCACGGTCAACCCCATGGAGGTGAGACTCCCGTTGGGCTGGGAACTCCGGGTTGGGTGCTTCTCTCTCCAGCCACTCAATTATTCCTGTGCTCAGAGTCTATCCCTTCATCCAGCTGTCTATCCACCAGGTCTTCCTGTCTTGGCTTCTCCCTCCCTCTCGACCTGATCAGACTGTATTTTGCCACCAGTTATATTCTCTGATTAAAAATGTGGGAATTGTTCTCACACCACAATTGGAACCAGAAATCTGTTAAGGCAAGGAACCACATGGTGTCTATTCCTTGCCTCTCCCGTGGTTCAGCGCTGACTAACACTTTGGGACTTGGTATTAAATCCTTGATTAACTGACAGTGCGAGTTACCCGGCTTTGCTCCAGAGTGGCTGCAGAGTTCAGAATAGGCTAAAAAATACAACAGCGAACCTGCCATTTATTAAGCTCCCCGTTATGCCAGACCCTGTATGTGGGGCTCCATATTCAGCACCCCGTGAAGTAGGGTCACCATCCTCAGCTACCAAGATGGGAAACATGAGAGAAGAGAAATAGAGTGCTCGAGTTCCCAGGACTGGCATTCAAACTGTCTTGTCATATTCTAAAGTTCATTTCGCTTCAGTCAGTGGGCAGCTCCCAAATCTGTCCATGATTGTGCAAGACCCCTGCTCTGCACAACTACCAAGGAAAGCTACCTACTCGTGCCCTTTGCCCTTGGGTGCTGAGCTTAGGGAAGTAGGGGACAATCAGGAAGAGTCATGGGAAATAACAAAGTGGTCATTCCAGCCTTGTCCCCAGTTTTGCCCTCTGCCCAGTTTTGGTCTCATGCTCTGATTTCAGAGCCACCATGCCATTGTGGCTCTGTTTCTCTAAGCACCTGCTGTGGGAACAGTGCTGAGCCCACCTCGGTGGGGACTCCAGAACACCATCCTCCGAGCGCTGAGCCTCAGATGTGGAAATGAAGTGCAGCCTGAGGACCAGGGAGCGGGGGCGAACCTGGAGATGTCGGTGCCCAGTGAGGTTGAGTAGGAAGAGCCCTGGGGGCTGGAGTGTGCAGGGAAGAGCAGTGCTTGAGGAGGCTGCCCAAGGGAGGCCTTGAGGAACAGGTAGGATTTGGGGGAACCAAAGTAGAAGAGAGACATTCTAGAGAGAGGCTGTAGCCAAGCACGGAGACACCTCTTCTATGATCTAGTTCACCAGCTCAAAATGAATCTAGAAACAAGATTTTGCTGCAATCACCAAAAAGATAGAGGGTGGGAGGGAAGGAGGGAGGGAGGGAGGGAAGGTGGGGGGAGACTGGGACTGGAAAGGTGGGGTACAATTTGAGGACACAAGCCAAGGGGTGAGTGCAGGCATGGGGAGTTAAGACCTGGTCTTTGTTCTTTCCAAAGTAATGTTTCTGAGGCTCAGCACACCTGAGTCTCGGCTTAGAAGGTCTTCTGCTCCCACCGACATCATATTTCATCCTAGAAAGGGGTGCAAGATTAAATGCTGCACGCTCATGGAGAAGCAAAGTTGCAAAGCTCCATTTAGACTGGCTTTGGAAATGCCAGACAAGTCCTGGCCTGACAGGTTCAGTCCCCACTGGATGGTACTCCTCTACATTAACGCTGACCTGCAGTTCATGTCTGGAATTGGCTGATCTTCAGGCCCTTTTGTCTCCCCTAATTTCTCTTCATCAAAAGACCTCCTTCCCAGAAAGCCTTTCTTCAGTTCCCAGGAGTTAGCTTGAAGAGAAGGGAGTCCCCAGGGACCCTCCATGTTTCCTTAACCGACTAAGAAAGGTAAGCTCCCAAATTGCCTCTGTTGGGCCCCTGGTGAGTGTCTTCTTTCCCTCTGTGACATCCAGAAACACGAAGAACCAGGCCACGGGGAAGAGGAGAGCGAGGGAGAGGAGGAGGAGGAGGAGGAAGCAGAGGAAGATGTGAGCTCCAGCAGCAGCGACTCTGACGACAGCGAAGAGGAGGAGGAGGAGGGGATGGGCAGAGGCAGGCACGAGCGGAGTGGCGCCAGGCAAGCCCAGCTAGAGTGGGATGACTCCACCCTCCCCTACTAGTGTCCCAGGCCTGCTCCCAGCCCGCGTGTCCCTTTTGTAAAGCCCGACCCAGTGTATGCCCGAGTCTATCACGCTCGCCGCCGATTTCGATGACAGGTCTGAGTGGCCTTCTCCGGCTTTCTAGAACCTGCCCCACGTGCCTTGGGCATTGATTGTGTCCAAGCAAAGGGCAGCTCCGAGAAGCCCAATGTCACCACCAGTGCAGACTTCAGGGTGGACGTTGTCCTGTAGTCCCCACGTCTCCTGCCCTGGGCTCACCCGGCTCCCTGCCAGCCAAGCCTCAGAGTTCTGAACAGCTCGCTCCTTTCTGCAGGAGAGAAGGTCCACCCTGGTGTCACTCCCTCCCCCAGGCTCAGTGTCCCCAAGGCCGTTGGGGTCCAACTCACTGTGCACACACCTGACTAAGTGTCTCTGTCCACCCACACCAGCAGGTCCTCCCTGTGCCGACTCTCCAAGGTTCCTCTGCGCAGGGAGGGTGGCAGGACTTCACATAACTAAGGTCCTAGGGCTCAGCACTTGAAAGAAAGCCCCTTGTTGATGAAGAATTGAGTTTATAGGGAAAGGGACACCCCCTACCCACTCACACACACACAGTCCCCAGCCTGAAGATCCTTTCCTTTTGCTTCTTTCTGAGGCCACTTGAGCTTCTATGACAAGTCCAAAACCAAGAGCTGGTCTCTGACCACAAGCAGAGCCTGTCCCCAGTTGAAGGGGCCAGCCTACCAGGGGACAGCTGAGATCAGTGTGGCTGCCCTGCCTGGCTGCCCATCACTCCAAACCACCATGCTCAGGGAGCATTCCACCCGGACCCCACCCCCCAATGCCACAGTAAGGGAGGAAGGATGGCTGATGGACAGACAGATGGGGCTTCATGGCAGACAGTCGTGGGAGACAAGGTGGGTGTGGCTGGACTCCCTGGCCCAAGCGCAGCCCCCAGGTTGGCAAGGCTCCCTCCTCCGAGTCTTGTGGTCCCTTATCTCCTATGTCACAGGTTTTCCTTTTGAGAGCGTACACCCCTCTCCGATAGATGAGAAAATGTGTGAACGGCAGCCGTCCTAGGTGACAGTTTGGAAATTCAACTACTAGGGATTAGAAAGATATTTGCAATGATAGAGACTGTTTTTTCTTCTCATAAAAGAAGGTCTAGGGGACAAATCTATCCAAAATCCTAATTTCTTTTTCTTTCTTCTTCTTTTTTTTTTTTTAAATAAGAAAGTCTTTTCCATTGCCACTCTATTGTGGACACATCGTGAGGAAAATTGTTGCTATAGTAACCAGGGGGTGATCTTTGTGACCAAATGAATACCAGGCAGGAACTAAGGCTATTACAAGACTTCCACGAGGCTCTGAGGACATGTTTGCCTCAAATGTCTCGGGTACCTCTTTGTCCTCAGTGTGTTCGAGCTGTCCCCTCTTCTCACCCCACCCCGAGCCCCTTCCCGTGTTGGTTTGGCACAGGTGCAGAGTGGATACCTTTAATTAATCCCCTTGTCATCCAAACACAGAGCTTAAGTAGAGGGGACCACAGCCAATGGCCTCTAATCCAGCCTCCACCCAGCGAGAGTCCATGGAAAGTCTCTGCAACTCTTTGAATGGCGACAAGTACTTTATACAGCTTTTTCTCCTGAAGGGCTTTTTTAAATTTTTGGCGTCCCTCCTCCTCCTTCACACCTCACAATAACCCTGTGAAATATTTGAGACGCCTGTTGTTAGACACATTTTCATGATGAGGATACCAAGGCTCAGAGATTCAGTGTCTTGCTCAAAGCCATTCAGTGGTATAGAAAAGACTGGATGCCTCACCCTCCACTTCACTTCCAGGATTCTAATGACTTCCCACCATGCACCTCGCAGGCATCCCGAGCACCTACTATGTGCAGGCAATCTACCAGGAGCTCTGGGGAAATGCTGAAGTGCCCTCCTCTCAGAGCACCTGACAGTTGAGGAAGGGACAAACAGGCCCAGAAGCTAATCGAGACATATGAAGAGGGAGGGGGGCAGGAGAAATCACAGGAAAAAGAGGGACGTGTTTGCAAACACAGCCAGGGCTCTTAATTTTCCCCTTCTTGGGAAAAACACTAGAAGAAGCTTGAGTTTTGATATTCATTGTGAAGAAATAGATGCATCTCCCGCATGAATTATTCCAATTAAACTCCCCTCGGTTGTTTTATCCCCCCAAAATCATGCCTGCCCAACTGCAGGGGAAAATTCATAGGACTGGTTAGGCCCCACAATACCATTATTTAAATAAAAAAGAAATTCTTCAAACAGGCATTTAGGAACTACTGAATTCTCCCAAAGGAACGGCAATGAAAGGAACACTTTATATGTATAAAGCCAATCCTTTCTGAATTAGCTTTTCATTGCCAATGTTTCAATCTCGGGTTTCTGGGAGAACTTTTCTTCCTGCTCTGTCTTTGCAGTTTGGTTGGGTGGGAAGATGTTCCTCAAGGCCTCTGGCTGTCTCTTACAGCCACATTACTTATTCATGGTTGGATGAGCTGTTTGGAGCACCGAGCAATCTCTATATGTTTTCAGGGAGTTGGCAGAGAGCAGATGAAAGTGGCACTTAGCTAGGACAGCAAAGATGTGTCATTTGAGGAGCCATTTGGTGACCAGATTCATTTACAGAGAATCAGTAGTGACCGCAAACCAAAGCCCTTTCCTTCAACTTTTGCTACAGAAGGTCATTCTACATGCTGGCTCCAAAAAATGAGGCACTGCAATGACAGTGCCTGGCCAACAGGAGTCCCCCTGTTCCCCATACTTACTCAGGACCACAGGTGAGAACAAAGTGGAAGTGGCTATATAAAAGCCGCAGAAGCTTCAGGAGGCTTCCAGATGAATGGTGGGTAATATAATTTGCCCTCCACCGAGATTTTCTGACCATAAATGAAAAATGTCATTTTTCAGCCTGGCACTTTCCGGCCCCCTTACACTAGCATTTTTGGAATCAAAAGTCTCAGATGACCTAGATACACTGTGACCTCTCAATCAGACAGCTATAGCCCAGGAAAGTGCAGACTCCTCCCCACAAAGACTCACTGACTGGTTTGACCACTTTCCAGCCCAATATTGCCCTCCAAGTAGACAACACCGTCTGGGGAACAGAGCTTGAAAATAAATAGTCTGAGACTTCTCAGGTGACTCAGGTTGCAGGAAAGAGGAGAAAGTGGAGGCAGAGACTGGAAAAGACCAGTAGAGAATGAGTTGCCCCAGCGGAGTAAAGCAATCGTCTAGGTAGTGAATTGTCTTAAGGAATACGAAGCATATATTATAACAGATTTAATCAAATTGTGTATGGCTGACCAAAGGCCAAATTCATCTAGTTGCCCTAAATGTGATTTCTGTGGGATCTCTTTTCATTACCACTTTTTTTGAATTTAGTCAATTGTTCTGTCATGTAGCATTTAGACCAAATACCTCTGCATTTAACAAGGGCTGTCCCTTATGGACTTGGATACCCCAGGAGTAAGGTCCTGCTGGGAACAATATTCACTGTTCCTGTATGCCAGGGCTCAGCAAACTTCACCTGGAAAGATCCACATAGTCAAGGCTTTTAGTTTTATAAGACATATGGTTTCTATGGAGAGTGCTCAGCTCTGCCTTGTAGCTTCAAAGCAGCCATAGACCATATGTAAACAAATGAGTGTTCAAATAAAACTTTATTTATGGACATCAAAAGAGTAGACAATTTGAATGTATATAAATTTTACATGACTTGATTTTTTTTTCTTTTACTCTTTTGATTATGATGTTCATGCACTCAAAAATACAGAAACCTTTCTTAGCCCACAAGCCATACAAAACTAACTGCCAATCAGATCTGGTCCCGAGGCTGTAGTTTACTGACTCCTATGGACATGCATGGAAAACAGGCTTCTATTTCCCAGGCAAAAGTAAACTCCTTACCCCCAGCTTCCCTCCCTATTGGCCTTTGCTCCAAAATCAGGAAAACTTTGTTGTCCTTCATTTTAAGCTGTTTTAGAAATTCATGTTCTGAAAGTAAACAAAAACAAAACACACTTGCTATTTTTGTACTGACAAACCCATACACTTATCCCTAAGAGTTGAAGGCCTTGGATCCAGGAACAGACTCATCACTGAGCTCTAACTCCAGAGACCAGTGTTGATTCCCAGGGCTCAGCACCTTCCCGGGACGGCTCAGCCCTACTGATTTCTAAGCAGGACTGTTCATTATCTCAGACTGATTGTCACTTCAGCCCCGCTCATGTCTTTGCTCTAAAAATGATCCTGAAGACATGTGACTGCTTGAATCAATAGCAACATAATCAGCAGAAAGCCCAACCCAGCACACTTCAAAATTAGCAATCTTCTTGGTTCTATGACTTGATATTAGCAAGAAGAAGAAAATGAACATTTTTTCCTTAATCATCTCTTCACTTAAATTAACCAAATTGGTTTTACCAAAAAAAAAAGTAAGAGGTAAATCTAATTCTTTTATATGCCAGTAAAAAAGTAGATGATGTTCACATAAAATCATTTTCCGGCCTCTGGGGGATCCCCAAAGCCTCCTGAGAAGTATCCTGGCAGCTATGATGGTACACGATCCTCTATCTGTATCAGACATTTATCGAGGCTGACAAGCCAAAGCCCTTGGCACAATTTAATTTTCATGTAACCGCTTTCTGTGGTCCAGCCGTAGGCAAAGGAAATGAGCAATGAAAGTTTTGAAGTCGACTCCAGCACCCTCGTTTCCCTATCTTTATTTGCTTTACTTTATAAATTTATTCTCTATCTGCTCTCTAGATCTTGCTTTCGTTTTTTCCTTTTGGCTCCAACTGGAAAAAAAGAGAGTTGGCTTGACAAGCACTATGGGTTAGGAGGTGAGCTTCACTCTGTCCCAGGGAGACAAAAAGAGACAGAAGTTACCTCCGCCAGCACCCCAGAAAGGAATCTGACACTTCCTGTGTGCAGTCAGCAGACAGATCGGAGCCTGCCTTGGCAGCCACATTCTATGCAATTGGAAAATGTGGGTACCAGGCCCTGTGCCAGGGATGGGCAAAGAGGCGAATGAGACAGGACCCTTGCCCATGAGGGTCTCCTGGTCTCATGAGCTGTTGGGATGTTTCCCTGGACAAGCTTGAGAAGCTGTGGATGAGCAGTCAGGACAGGGGCAGTCAGGGGCAGATGGGTGGGGTCAGGGTAGTGGGGTGACTTGCTTTGGCAGTTATCCACCCTAAGTCAGATGGTAGGTGTGATTCTGTCAACACCTTGCTGAGGCAGACTGAGGAGATGTCTAGGGGAGTGGGCACGGTTTCCCTAAACATTCCTTAATTGTTTCTGAGCCTGACTCTGTTCACTTAGAGAAGAAGGCCAGTCACGGTGCCTACTGGGCAGAAATAACATGGCTGAGAGCTGAGATTCCATGAAACTAAACCACAGGAAGCCCTTAGGTAAGAATAGCAGCCAGGAGACCTTGCCAGTTGGGAAGGCTGGCTGATCCTGGTAAATGGGCTATCATTAGTCAAGGCCCAAAGGCTTGATCTGCCTGGCGTAAGAGCCCCCTGAGGCCCAAATCCAGAGCTGAGAAGCAAAGGAGGCTCCACTCAGGAGGACCTGGGAGTGCACACTGCATGCTATGGAGCTGTGGTTCTTAATATTTGGCCTCTGCACCAGCAGCAGCATCACCTGGAAACCAGTAAGAAATGCCAATTTCCAAGCCCCACCCCCAGGCCTACTGAGTCAGAATCTCTGGAGGTGAGCTCAGCAATCTATGCATGAAAGACCTCTTTGACTCTGCTGCATGCAAAACCTGGAGAACCACTGGTGGAGAGGTTGAAGAGAATGGTTTATGCTGGCTTTATCAGGAGCTGCTTTTATGATTTATCAAGGTAAAACAGTCAATTGCTAGTGCAGTGATAGGCGAGGGCTATAGACCTTACCCAGGGCCGCTGGACTGCAGTGGTTTCTGGACACACTGGTCCTAGTTCCATTTACCTTCCTCCCCCGAGGCACAAGACAATTCCTGCCCTGTGCCCCTGCTATCCTAGAGAGAGACACAGCCCAGGAGAGACTACTGTGAAGCCATCCACCCACGAAAGACCAAGTTCCTGTCCAATGAGCGGCCTCTTCTAGGGCCATATTTTATAAGGAAAGAGTGAAACTGCAGCAATGAGTTTAGAACGCTGGGGGCGCCACTTGGCTCATAGCCCATATGCTGGTGGAGCACCCAGGGCCTGGCAGAGGGTGAACGGGTCATTCAAGGACAGGTTACGGCAGCACTGTCCCTCCGTCATGGCCTGGGGTGTGCAGCATCACAATTCAAACACTAAATTGGATGGGGAATGGATAGCTCTTCTTGGAAGGGCAGTAAATCACTGTACTAAAAGTAAAAACCAAAACCCCAAAACAAACCTGCAGTCTTATTAACTCTGTCTAGACCCTGTAATTCCTAAGGCCTGGTGAGGCAGCAGGTTCCACCAAGGCCCTTTGCCTGACCTACGAGAGGCCTCAGGTCTGCTGATCAAACTCTGTGGAACTCCTGCTTACTAGTCACTGGCACCTCAGTGTGGCACTGAGTCTGTCCAGGACCCAGAGGAGGAGCCAACTGGGCAGGAGACCCGGGAGGACTAGCATCTGCTATTGATTCCTTCAGACCCTGACTCTGCCTGCTCAGAGGCACAGTCCGATCTTCTCAGTAGTCTCACCAAGTCTCCCCATTTCCCAGCCCAGCCTGGGAATAGATCTTCTGATTAAATGTCAGTGGGAAAGCATGGCAGAAGCTGTACAGGGGAGTCTGCATAGTCTGGCCTGAGTGAATTCTCTGAGGACACATTGCTCCCCAAGACTTAAGGGGACTGTATGTGTTTCCTTATTCTAGTCCTTTATCACCAAAGCCTCTTATGAGACAAAATGACAAATAAGGGTTGGGTAGTTCTGAAGGCAGGGTGGGCCCTGTTCTCATGGCAGGTCTAGACTCGTGTCAGGCCAGGTAGGAAAGGGAGGCATCATGGCCTAAGGGCAAAAGCCCTGGCCCAGCCTGGACACCTGGAAGAGTGGGGGGCAGTGGGTGTGCATTGAAAGGCTGGGCCACATTGAGATGTACAAGGAGGCAACACCAGCCACCTGCTGTTACACCTGCAGGACAGTGCAGAGCCTCATCCCAGTGTCAGGTGGGGGTCTCCTGGCTCCCGCCTGGAGCAGTGCTCCCATTCTGAGGAGCAGAGAAGGGAGAGTGCCTCTGGATCACTAAAGTGACACCTCCCCAGAGGCAGGACCCCGCCCCAGGACAACTTCCAGTTGAATGAATGGAACCATAGCCCTCCCTTCCCAGGTACCTGATAGGAACCCTGGAAAACAAGATCACGCAAGGCTAGTATGGATTCCCAACTCTTACCACCTCTGAGTGCCACCTCCTTAAGGCAAAAGGACTACCCAGTCTATCGCAGCACCCTGGGTGCCAAGCACCGTGCCTGGCTCATGGTAGGGGCTCCACAAATGTTGGGTTGAATGGCATCCCAGAGATCATGTGACCTCAAAGATTGGGCTTGGTTTGAAAAATTAAGATGCCCCAGGGGAGAAAGACCCTTCCATCCTGTCTCTTAATTTGTAAGTCAAGGTCCTTTATAAAATCAGATAAAAGCAGAAAGGAAGTTCCGATGACAATGCTCTCGCACTCCAAATGGAAGAGCAGGAGTGAGCTTTGCTAAATGACCCTTCATGGCTATAACCAGTGTAGGAAGCCCTATGCGAAGAGCAGGGGTAGATGGCCCCACCTGCTCCATCCTGTGGATCAAGGGAAGCATTCTCACTGAGGAGAGAAAGATCTGATTGGTTAATGACCCCCACCCTATGCCTCTCTCCACTCCCTTTTATCAGATATACTGCAGAGGAAATTCATCAACATGAAGCTCAATTCCCAATAGTCTAATGAAAAGAGGGCAACAGATGAGAGAAGAGCCAGAACACAGACGGTGTGTATTAATCACAGGCAACAGACACGCGTTGGCTTTAATGTCTGTTTGCTTTTATCTTGAAATGAAAATGCATCTCAGTTACCTGGACCCTTTACACTGAGCATCTCAGAAAAGAAATGGCACACATGAGTGTACGCAGGCATGCACGCGCACACACACACACACACACACACACACACACACAGAATTCTTTTCCCCAGCAGAAAGAATTGTCAGAGAAATAAGCCCAGAGATTTTTGTCTATTTGCACTACCCATGTCTCAGCTATGGACCCCAGAAACTCTGTGGGAAAGAAAGGGACAGGAAGGGACAAGGAAGTAGCATCTACCACCTGAAAGGATTCCTTGGGTTCACAGAGATGAGGGGTTCACCTGTGCCCGTGGGTCACAGATAGGAGTATAACGCATGCATCAATCTTTAGAGGCAAAAGTTCAGATGTGGCACCACGCACCCCCAGCTCCCTCATATGACTACACAGGAGCTGATGGATTCTGGATTGGGAAGAGTTCTCCTGTTCCCAGATACCTGTCAGGTGGTGGAACTAGGAACAAGTTTTGCAGGAGGTGAGGGTAGATTTGGGAAGATCATTCCAAAAGTAAGAAAAGGGATATGGAGAGAGGAGATAACTCAGAGTTGGGGAGTAACCCAAAGGTGGATTGGAGAGGACCAATCCGTCACCCAGGAAGCCAGAGCATTGCTCTGTACCTAAAGTTAAATTCAAGTTTCAAAGACATTGCGGCTAAGCCTGGTCATGTGAGGCTCAATTGATGTCAGAGCTGTTGGAGGGTGATCTCAGTTCTGAATTGAACTACCCCTGCTGGGTCAATCCACTTGGTTGCTTCAAGCCTGACCTCAGTGGCTTCTAGAAACAGGATTGTGGATGCCCTGAGCTGGACAGGCTTGGCAGGAGATTGAAGATACCAGTCGGTGAGTCTAGAAAAGAAACTGTATGTGGAAGATGGTTGTTCTCAAGGGAATCTATAGATATTAGAGCTGGGTTTGTTATGTTATAAGCATGGACATTGTAGTTTTGGTAAGGAGAAGAGTCAGAGTGACTTGGTGGGGAATTAGTTGAGGAAGTTAGAGTAACAAATATCAAATATGAGAGATAGGCAGGCTAAGGAGAGTTGGTAATGGGTGTGTGTATATATATATGTGCATAAACATATATACATGTCATATACACATCCACAATACCAAAGGAAGGTGTCAAATGAGCTCAACGGTACCAACACATTTCAAATTATGTTACGTGTCTTTTTAATTGCTGTTTACTCTCAGCCCTCAAAACACTGGCAATGGTGCCTGGCACATAGTAGGAGTTCAGTAAGCATTTGGAAATGAAAGGTCTAGCCTATCACTACTTGGTGGAGTCATAGAGGTATCCTTGAATCCCAAACTGAATGAGCCACAGAGCAGCAGGCCAGCCACATCCCCGCCCCCCTTGGCTGAGGAGAAGCTATTGTGAATTCGCAGGTCTCCTCTGGCTCTCTGGTAGTGAATCATAGTGGGTTTGTACACACCTTGGACCACATGGGAATAACGCCATCATGTTAGGTGTGGGAGGGGCTCTGGGACTCCCCTCCCACTGTGTCCGCCATTTCCTTCGGCCAGTCTGAATTGTCCAGGCTGGTTTCCTCTCAGCCCCTTCCTCCTCCCATCTCTGGAGATGCCACCACCGTTTAGAAGCGTCCTATTAGAAGCCTGTTCAATCCCAGCTGCTCAACCAAAGTGCAAAGGGGAAGGAAGGTCTGGCTGGAGCCCCAGGGCTGTCCACACAGCGGAGGCAAGAAGAGCAGTCACCTTCCTCCCACAGACACCTTCAGTCACTGTTCCTGGCCAGGCAGTTCCTGCCAGCCTGGCTGGAGTGTCCCCGAGGTTGACTTCACTCCAGGGAAGGGCCAGCGTGTGCCTGATGCGTGTCAGACCCTGGATTCCCTGGCCGCCTCAGAGAATGGATCTTTTTAGTTTAGAAAATGTGTTTGTTTGCTAAATACATTATCTTGTGTGTGTATGAGTGTGGTACGAAGGAAACCTTGGAATATGTCACCGGGATTGTATGAACTTAGAGAAAGTTGAGTTTAATTTCAGAAGAGCTCACTGTCCCCTCTGTTGACAAGGGTGACCAGCCAAGGGGGTCAGAGAAACTGCCCTTCCCGTCCCCACCCCTCCCTGGCTAGTGGAGCTGCTGGACTCGATTCAAACCCATGCAGAGTGAGAGGTGCCGAGCGCCCCGTGTGTACATAACGAGGAAGCAAATAGGAGCCATCGCAGGGATCTCTCGGGCTTCTTCCCATGACTGTGCTCTTACCCATGTTTGAGTCACAAACTTTAAATTTCTAACAGTTACGATTCTTGCAGTTTCTGAGTAATTTGTTAAATGCCTACTCAACACAGACAGATATTTATTTTCAGCCTTGGCTTGTAAACGCCTACAAACTGATTCATGTTGGTGGTCATTACGACACTTCTGTGAATTGGTGAATAAATATGATTTTAGAATTTCACAGTAAAGGTGACTTCTGAGAGTTTTTATTGTTCAGACTGTTTGATGAGGTGAGACACCAAGAACTGGTTCATCTGGGTTGCTGTTCTCTTGGGTTCTATGTTAAATCCGTGCTTGGGCAAGAGAGACAGGTAGCATGTGACAGTGGTGACAAGGTAAATAGGCTCTCGTCAGGCCTTGGTCCGGGCACTCTGCTACACCCAGAGCGGGACCAATGGAGACCAGTACAACGACAATCCTAATAACATGGTGTATTTATTGAGCACCTACATGTTACTGGAGTTCTGGGTACCATCTTAATCTGCACAGTAGGTCATTCTTACCACTAGCCATGAAAAACATTGAACCTGGAGGAGTCAGGGGCACGGCCCAGGGCAAATGGATTGACCACAGCACTACTTCCTCCTACTCCTCCATGCTGACCTGTGCTTGCACCTAAATGCCACCCAGAGCCACCTTGACCCTGAAGCCCACAGAAGTGGGCTCCTCTCACCATCCAGAGCCAGGGGATAGTCAGAGTGCTTCTGGAGGATTCTGCATGTTGCAGTTCCTGCAGCCTCTCTCCTGCTTCGTACTGAGCCAACTCAAGGGCTAAGCCCCAATTTCTTGGAAAATTTGGAATGGAACCACCATTTGACCCAGCTGCATGTCACAACAGGCATGTTTGCTTGGCAAGCTCCTGTTGGCACCCCTCCCTGGCCTGTGCCCTCTGCCTGCCCTCGTACCTTCCTCTCGCTCATTTCTCTCCATCTTTCTCAGATGGATATTAAAAAACAAATTCTTTCCTTGTCACTTGGAAGAGTAGCTCCATCATCTTCTCCTCACTTCCTGGTCTTTGAAAACCCACGTCCCTCCTTCTATCCCAAGTAGTGGGTCTGATCTTCTCCCTGAGATACAGGTCATTCTTGCACCACGAGGACTTTTTTCTGCTCCATGTTAAGACAATCTATTTAGCATGCTCAACTGGATTTTTCTTTTACATTCCAGAGAGTCAAGAAGCCTTAGAAGGCTTGGTGTGTTCTGTGATTCTTCTGTGCTTCACCTTGCTGTGCACCCATGTACATGTACACACACACACACATACACACACACACACACACACACAAACACACACATACACTGAGCATTGATCCTTGGGCTTCCCTTACCTCTGGCAAAAGAGCTATATTATTTAACCTGAAAAAAAGCCTGGTTTATGTAGTTTGAATACAGTGCTTCATATTAGGTTGACCTGACAGAGGTTTCATGGCAAAAACTTACAAAGAATACCAAAAACAAACATTTAAGCTATGGATAAAAGTTCTGGGCAGAAGTTTCACAGCAATCATACCTGTGTTCATGCTCCAAAGGAAAGCCTGGGATGTAGCAAGGGCTCAGAAAGCATTTATCAAGCTAAACTAAATTAAACCTCCAATCTGAGGTCCTCAATGACCTGCCCCCCTCCCCATAAGCTTTCATCCAATTGCCCAGCATGAATCCCAGGGCCTGGTCTTCCCAAAGCACATGGTAAACATTCCCATCTCCATGCTTTTGCTCTTTGACCTTGAACGCCCCCTCCTGGCCACCCTTAGACCAGGGAATGATGGGCCCACTGTGGAGATGCAGGACAACTTATCAGAGGGGCCATCTTGATTGACCAGTGCAATGGGATCCTGCTGTCCTCTGCACCCCTGGAGAGTCTGCCTTATTATTAAGTTCCCTAAGTGAAAAAGGTGGGAGAACAGGATACAGGACTTATTGTTCTAAGACAACTCAAATACCTGCACAGGTAAGGCAGGCAGGGGTAGTGAGCCTAGTGAGCCCAGCTGTCTGGCTGGGGCTGAGGATGAAAAGAAAATACATGCCAAGTCCAGAGGGGAAGCCTTTCCATCCCAGGGCAAGGATGGTGGCCCCTTATTGCCAGATCTTCTGATTCTAAGAAAAATCAGAAACATGGATTTTCAGAATGGCAGCTATTATGAATACAAACAACAATAAGTGTTGCCTAGGATGTGGGGAAAAAGGCACACTCATATGTTGCCGGTGGGATTGAAAATTGGTGCAGCCAATATGGAAAGCAGTATGGAGATTTCTTGGAAAATTGGGAATGGGACCACCATTTGATCCAGCTATCCCCCTCCTCAGTCTATATCCAAAGGACTTAAAAACAGCATACTACAGGGACACAGCCACATCAATGTTTATAGCAGCACTATTCACAATAGCTAAACTATGGAACCAACCTTGATGCCCTTCAGTGAATGAATGGATAAAGAAAGTGTGGCATGTACATATACACAATGGAATATTACTCAGAAACATAGGTTTTCATGTGAAATCTACCAGATTTTAAATTTAGGCAACTGAATCACATTTTTAAAACAAATTCTGTGTTGTCCAAATAAAATGGATTGGCAGGCTGAATTCAATACCCAGACAACTGGTTCTAGAGTACATTCATGTGGACCAGGTGAGTCTGACTAATCAAAAAGCAAAACGACCCAACTCTTCCATTGGGGTTACTAGGTCTTGGATGTGATGGGTTCTCTCACATGCCACTAGAGAGTGGCAGAAGGAACAAGATGAAGAAAGCAAAGATTAGCCATGTGAGCATCTGGGGAGTAACCAAGGTGGAGAGGTCTCTGGGCAGTAACATCTGGCAAATGGTTAACCATCACCTTTGAAGGAAGGGGCAGGTCTAATTTGTAATAATCACTGATCCTGTGGCTGATTTTAAGCTACCAACCTGAAGTCACTGAACTCAAGAGTTGGGAAGGGATGCTAACAATTGGCTTTGTGAGCCAGCTCTAGCATACATCAGACCACACACCTCTGGCACACACCCGTGACCACCGCTCACAGGTCAGACATCGAGAAAAAGCCAGCGCACCTTTAACCATGGATAGAGGAGACACGGGACTGCCATCTTCCTAAGGACTTGGCCTAGTGCAGGAAGCCTCTTGACCCACATCAGAACTCCTTCCCACACTAGGCGAAGAAGGCTGCTGCTTCCATTTCTGGCTCTAGCTCTTGCACACTGACTTGAGCGGGGACTGCCGGCTACATGAAGCCAGGCTTGGTCACTGAGGACCCAGGGTGTGAGTGGAGGAGCCAGAACAGAGAGGCAGTGCACAGTCTGGCTGTGCTCAGGAAGGCACAAGGAGCCCTGGTGGAAGGAGGGTCGGGAGGCAGCCAGGCTGCCTCTCTCCATCTCCAACCACACAGCCACCTCTGGCTCCTTGAGATGGAGACATGAGACACAGCCAGGAGACATGGAGCAGGAGGAGGAGATGGGAGGTACTGCTCCAAGGGAAGGGGAATTTCCAGTACCAGGTCCCAGGCTAAGGGACAGAGGTTCTCAGAAGAGACTGGACTTTCAGTGTTTCCATTTGTTCTCCTTTTGGGATCTTTGATGAACTTTAAAATCTTCTCCAGAATCAGCACAGCCTTATCTAAGGCCAGGCTTGACAGGAGGGAGGGCAGTTGAGTGGACCATCCGTCCTGTAGAGAAGCCACCTGCTTTCATGAGCAGTTCCTTGGTGGCAAGCTGAACACATCTAAGCCTTTGTTTTGGATCTTATAACCCAAAGAGAAGAGCTGACATGTGGCTGGGCCTCACCATGGCAAGGTTAGGACTTACTGACATGACATATATATATGTCATATGTAATATATACAATATATGCATAATGAGTACATAGAATCAAATTTATAATTCTATACTTACATGTTATATATGTACTTATTAGGGCTTGCTAAAGGGATTAATATGTATCATTACCTATTAAATATATTAATTATATTTTATATAACATTCTAAAAGTATATTTTATATTAAATATAATGTTATAATAAATTGTAATGTGTTTTATTATATAATTACATATTTATATCATTATCTATAATATGTATTAATAACCTTAGCAAAACCTAATAGGTACAAATACATAATTGTGTATTACATATTATGTAATTATCATTATATATTATACAATTATAAAAATATATATTAGTTATAATTATATATTATGTAATTATGATTATATATTGTGTAATTATAGAACTACAACTGTTACCTAATTATAGTTATCCATTATATATTATTGATCACATAATTACACATTGAATACTATTAATATGCTAATATTAACATATTATTAGTATGCATAGTTTATTAGGCATTGATTCCGTAACTCTCATGTTGTCCCCCTCTTTTATCTTTGCTGATTCTGTCTGACGAGCTCCAGGACTGGGAGAGATCATGGTTACTGGCACCTCTCAGTGTGTCTCTAGAAAGGAAGGGGCTCTTCTGCAACACCAGTTCAAAGTCCTGGATACGCATGGTCTTAGCCAGCCTTGTGGCACGCATGTCCCCCATGGCGAGCCCTCCTTTCCCCCACCAGGAGCACATATTTACAAAGGGGGAGGAGCGTTCCTCAGAGAAGACACAGAGAAGCTTCACCAGAGGAGGGCATGGCGAGATATGAGATATAACTCCCCGTGCCGGCAGCTTCAATTCAAGAAGTCCTTGAGCCTGGTGTCTTCATTTATGCTGCATGGAGTGCATATTCCATGTTGTTCCCACTATTCTTTTTAAAGTTTCTCTGATAAAATTCTGTTCTTGAAAATGATGGGCTGTACAGGTATCTTTTACTCCAGGAGTTTTCAGAACGATTACTAGGAACCATCTAGAAACTAGGGAAGACTGTTTCTCAAACTAATCTGATTACAGAGCCTTTTACTTTGTTCAACATCCTTGGGACAAGGGTCCACTCCAAACTCCTCTCTTGGGGCCAAGATGCAGGGTTCTTTCCTTTGTTAGTACCTCATCCAGGTGAACCACCTGAACCAGCAATTATCATCTATCCATCATGACCAGGATGAAGACAAGCTCCATTTCCTTCAGGCCTTTCTGCTCTGAGAGCCCCCCACTCCCCGACTTTGCCTCACACTCTCCATCTGTCTGCTTGCACAGACAAATGTTCAGATCATTCAATCAGCCCATTCCAAAGCAAGGAGAATTATGGAA